TCGAAATTAGACATCGATTTCAAATTGAAAATAGAAATGGCTCGTACTAAGCAAACTGCCCGTAAATCTACCGGAGGAAAAGCTCCCCGAAAACAACTTGCCACCAAGGCAGCACGGAAAAGTGCTCCAGCCACCGGTGGTGTCAAGAAGCCTCATCGTTACAGGCCCGGAACCGTTGCTCTCCGTGAGATTCGTCGATACCAGAAGAGCACCGAGCTTCTCATCCGCAAGCTCCCATTCCAGCGTCTAGTTCGAGAAATCGCTCAAGACTTCAAAACCGATCTCCGATTCCAAAGTTCTGCCGTCATGGCTCTTCAAGAGGCTAGCGAAGCTTACTTGGTAGGTCTGTTCGAAGATACCAACTTGTGCGCTATCCACGCCAAACGTGTCACCATTATGCCAAAGGACATCCAACTGGCCCGCCGTATTCGTGGTGAACGTGCATAAGCTGTGTCATCAGTTATCTCAAACCAAAAGGCTCTTTTCAGAGCCACAACTTGTTCAAAAGAGAAAAGCATTTTGTCTACAGTACAGTTTCTCCTTGTTTCCTTATTTACAGTTATTTACAAATTATTTTAGTATGTAAATTAAAAATCAAGTACTGAAGTTGATAACGTATATATTTCAATATACAGTAGTATAAACGTTTTAGGCCATAGACTTCCACATCTAAAAGTCACACACATTTAGAACGAAAAAAAACACACTGTGTACCCTCACATTATTAATGATACATGTAGACAGCTTAAATAAGTTGATATACACTGTATATAGAAGTGCATACATTATTTGCATATATTTTACAGTACATATAGTTTAGCTTTTCTAGTTTAAAGTCAGACTCCGGAGGAAAAAACATTTTTGATATGTTGTAGCACTGATTTGACAGAAGACAGAAAAAATTGTATGACGAAAAACTGGGGAACGGTGAATGAGATGCAGATTTTTGAATATTTAAAAACTGTGGGAAAAGGTGACTCCCATTCCTTTTCCCCATATAATTATATATTTATTTATATAGACCTATTATATAATATAGATGTGTATAAGAGACAGGTATAAATTCTTGGCTATTACCATCACTGTATTGTGTCAATTGGCAAATAACCTCCACATTCCCTATCCTCGCAGTACAAATTTATCTTTTTGTGACGTCACAAAAAGATTTTCAGTGACTTTCGGGGGGGATTTTTGGGGTAAGGCATTGTCCAATACGTTTAATATTGGGTGTCCGAGGTTTTCCAATGACTTTCTAAACAATGATGACAAGATTTTGGATTTCTAGAAACCGTTTCATATCCATTTTAAATACTCGATTAAGCGCGCGGCGCTTATAAAATATAACCCGTTCCTCAATGTATTTCATTACACAAAATGTACTGAAATAAACTCTTATTTAAGCGCCGCGGCGCTCTTAGCGGAAAAAAAAAATCCTTGGTATTTTGTTGTGGGTGGGGGAGGTATTTCAATTTTATTGCCATTTTACCAATGCCATAGCCAGCTATTGGGACTGTCCCACATTTGTCTAATGGGTCAACAAAGAATGGGTCCAGATTTCTCATATTTTGTGTAAAATGGGCCAACATTTAAGAAAATGATTCAAGATTTCTAATATTTTGCGTAAAATGGGTACATTTTTAAGAAAATGGGTCCAGATTATCCATATTTTTGCGTAAAATGGGACAACTTTTAAGAAAATGGGTCCACATCATTTGAATATAAGCGTAAAGTGGGCCCATCCTGATGTTGTCCTACACTGTTTGAAAATCATGGCATCATTGTACATATATCTGAATAGTACAATGATGGTACATTGCGGCGTATTTTACCCACCTTGGTATTTTGGGGGCCATTTATTTTTTATTGCCATTTTACTGTAACTAATTTTTGGCGCGTGCTATTGTAGAACAACAATTTTATGTGTTTGTAATACAAACAAGATATGTTCTTTGAAAAACTCGCATACTTTCAAGATTATTAATCTAAGTGAAACAAAGATTGAAGTTCCTCACTGAAACGGACCATTTTCACAATATTTCAACGGGAAGATATAATAATCATTATGTAGGGTATATTTGGTTCTTCGTCTTATACAGACATCATACGTATTAATTTTCATTGCTGTTATATTTTTTCTAACAGGTTTTAAGTTTCACTAATCAAATTAGGGTTAAAATGGTATAGTATATAATACATAAGCATAGTCTTTGACTGTTTGTGCTTCGTTGTTCATTTTACGTTTTTTTTTCTATTTTATCACCAACGATGTAGCCTTAACTTTATGTACTACAGTATTTGAATTTTTAAGTAATACTGTACGATGTTTCCGTAAATTTTAACTGGGTACAACCATGGAGGTAATACAACTGTATCTCCGTGCAGTATCACTGACTGCCAACAATTGTAAATTAGCGCCAAAGGGAACAATAGAGTAGCTATTAGCAGACGATTGGGTAATATGAGAGCGGGACTGTCTGTGATTGGTTAATCCAATAAGAGCGAAAAGCCAACACAAAAGACTCGAGCAGGCTATATAAGCGTAACAGGTCTTTAAATGAAGTATCATTCTCGATTTTAGTATTAAAACCAAAGAACGAAATACAGTACAATATGTCTGGACGTGGTAAAGGAGGAAAAGCTAAGGGAAAGGCCAAGAGCCGATCAAGCCGTGCTGGACTTCAGTTCCCAGTCGGTCGTGTCCACCGATTCTTGCGCAAGGGTAACTATGCATCTCGTGTCGGTGCTGGTGCCCCAGTCTACATGGCTGCTGTACTCGAGTACTTAACTGCTGAAATCTTGGAGTTGGCTGGCAACGCTGCCCGTGACAACAAGAAGAGCAGAATCATCCCCCGTCATCTTCAGCTTGCCATCCGTAACGATGAAGAGTTGAACCGTCTTCTCGGAAGTGTGACTATCGCACAGGGAGGTGTATTGCCAAACATCCAGGCTGTACTTCTGCCAAAGAAGACCCAGGCCAAGTCCAAGTAAATTTCCACAACCATCTTCTCAAACCAAACGGCTCTTTTCAGAGCCACCATATGTACAAAAGAGATTTGAAAGCCATTACCGTCTACGTTAGTTGTTCATTTCATTAGTATATTCTAATTGTTAGTGTATAGAATAATTAGAAAGAGAAAATATAACATTTTAACAACTGCAGTGTATATACAATGTGTATATATATAAATATATTTAACAACTGATACTGTTTGATCATATATGAATTTATATTAATTATATATATATACATTTAACAACTACAGTGTTATTCTATGCATACACACACACACACACACATATATATATATATATATATATATGTGTGTGTATATATATATATATATAGAAAATAATGAAACAACTTCAGTAGTAGACTTTAAGAACACTGATTTATTATAAACTCGGATATTTCTGCCACTCCTGTGGCCTTCATCAGCGAGAATGAGGAAAACATCATGAATCAATATAATATAGGCTGTCTTATCAAAAAAGAATAAAGGTGACAGAGAGCAAATGAGGAATACTTATAAAACTGTACAATGATTGGTCTATATATGTGTGTGTGTGTGTGTGTACCGTATATATATATTTTTTTTCTCAGGTATTTGGAGACGATCACTTCAAAAGCATCACCCCTGTGATATTTACCTGACGCAATATATATATATATATAAACTTCAGGGAGAGGTGTCTAGTATTGCCAAATGTAATTTATTGAGTACACGAACGTTTTCGGTCATCGCCCTTCATCAGGTATACGTTCGTGTACTCAATAAAATTTGGCAATACTAGACACCTCTCCTGAAGTTTTTATTTTTATATATATGTTTGCCGATGCAGCTTTTAAGTTTTTATTTATTCTAACAGCTCTTCCACTGTTGTTAACCATGCATTTTTCATAATTGTTCAAAAATTTGTTGTGGTTGTGGCAGCTAGACTTTAGAATGGTCTTTCACATTCTGGTTTCTTTTATTTAGAATTTCCCATATATATATA